CCCCCTTCCCCCCACACCAAATCTGCTCCTCAAAATATCTCCATCTTAAAATGGAATGAGCCTCCATTGCAAAAGAGTTGAAAAAGCAACAGTGCTAAATGAAATTATATAACTAAAACAGTTCCTGCTCAACACATTAATCCGGCCTACCTTGTTGCCGAAGAAATGTTGCTTGAATACATCATAACCAGCAATGCCAGCATAAACAGTCCCAAACCACATGAAACAGACAAACTGGAAAAAGTAGCGGTGATTGTGAAAGCCAACACAGTTGTTGAGCCATGCTGTGACAAAGTCAAGGGACAACTTTGAATTTTTTTATCCAGAACAAAACAATGTATATGGGTATCTTACAGAACTGCTGCAATCAGTTGTGACTGGGGGTAAAGCTAACAAAAATTCTCAGAACAGCAAAGATTCAGAAACAGATATGAACTCTGATCATTTCACCAAATCAGCATCTTTCTGACAGATCTAATAATAATATAAATTATTCATAATCCCTGAAAACATTGCTCTCGCTTATAAACTTTAGAACAGAAGGTTAACAATTACAGTACATCATCACTTAGACTGATTAAATGACAGGGTAATTTCACCCCGCTCTTCACTTGCTGGTATCATGATTTAAGTCAGGACAGTAAATTTATTTAGTTTAGTTTTAGTAAGAGATTTACGGCACTTGCAACACAATAAGGTCATATAAGTGCCGAAGAATAGAAGACGTGCAACAGGAGAGTAACATACACAAAAAAGAAGGAGGGGAGATAATGACGACAGATGTTTGATAGGAAAGAAGGAGCAAACCACACCAGAGCACCCACCAACCAAGGGAAAACCTTTTATGGACAAAACAATACAGGACTACATACAGTTGACATTATCTGCGACAGCCATCTTAGGTGGCCAGGCCACCTTACACAGTGTCATTGTAATGCAGTGGCTGTTAGAGCAAGTTTGATTGTAATTAACTAAAATAAAGAAGGACAATCTGTACAGACATCAGAAGAGTGATGTCCAAGAAAAACAGACGCGACATTATAATTGGAAAGGATACGACAGTGGTGATCCATCTTTAGTACACAGGCATTGCATACTGTGCAGTGATGCGCTCGAGGAGGCTTTGGGGAGATGCACTTCTTACAAATGGAGACAACTTCTGGAACAGACTTAAGAACAAAGCATTTATAAATATATCTCAAATTCTTCTTCCTCTTTTTCAGGAACCATGTCTAGAAAATAAATCTTTTTTTTTTACACTTCTTTTACTACTCGTTTTTAACTTACCAGATTATTGAAACTCTCTATGTCAGACTTAATTTCATTACATGATTCCTTTTCCTCCAAAAGTTTTAAGATAGCCTCATGTTTATGCAAAGCCTTTCTAGTGGCATGGGTGTACACAGAGCTACACTAATTGACTCTCTCAGACAGCTTCTTAACTTCAAACACGACAAAATATCTAAGGAGAGAGCGAAAATAAAACAAAAAGAAAAATACAGAGGATATGGTCATGTTGGACTTGTTATCATCTTAGAAAGTGTAATTGTACAGAAAACTGCAAGGATAGAACTGGAAACTGGCCTTTGTATATGTGGTAGTCTTATACAGGTGGCCATCTTGACAGGTTTGACCGCACATCAATTTGTTCAGAGCATATATACTTGAAACGTAAACCCTTCTTACTTACTTGTGGGGGGTGCCCAGGTTTGGTGAAGACTGCCATACAGTAATTGAACACAATGTTCATCAAGACCCAATGAGCTACAATCAAGTGGACGAGAGACCAAAATATGTCAGTCTGGTAATATATATGAGGGAGGATGCAAACGTAGAACACCATAACCACCATGGTTGTGAGAAGTACCACCATAGTCACCATGATCTGTGGAAGAAAAGCACAAGTAACAATGTATAAGAGACAAAACGAAATTTCAGTAATTCATTTAAAAAGAAATTGGCTGACTAGAATTACTTGCCGTTTCTTTCTGCTGAAAACAGAAACAGAATAATACTAAAATAAAGTCTGTGTGATTATGACTAAGCCTCAACTAAATGAACATTAATTTTACCAGAACGAGAGAAAAAATATGTCTATAAGGAAATCTGTTTCAAAATAGACTACTCAGGTCTGTGTGCATCATAACAAACTGGTTACAGCCCAGTTGATTCGTAGTAATCTAAGATATCATGAACATTACAATTTATGGCTCAATAAGACATTTGTCTGTAGCCTTTATCACTTCTAAAAGTACAAAGCATGAGGCTACATTCCTGGAGCAGTTCACACGGCCACACAAAATCAAATCCATGATGTGTATTCACTAGCAGTGAAGTGAAGACTTTTTAAAGGCAAAATTCTGACATACTGTTATGACCCATATGCAGGAAGTGTTGAGTCTGGACCAATAAAAAGTCGAAAAGTATATTGGCACACTAGACAAAGAGCACTGGAGGGTAACAAGAAAAATCTGCATGGAGTTACTCAATAATACTAGCCGCTGCACTGAGATCCACAGGAAAGATGTTGTTTTTTACCCAACTTTACCAACAAGTTTCTATTTTGCAAAAAAAAAAAAAAAAAAAATATGCAATACAGCTTTCATGACTTACTGGTCCCATGACCCGAGCTGAGTTGTCTACAAGCCAAAACAATGGTTCCATAGATGTGTCGAGGACAGTATTCCATGTTGTGAACTGGTTGTAACATAATGACATGTAGATAATTCTCCAAGACTCGAGTCTATCTCTTATATTTGCAGTCAAACGTGAAGGACACTCTGATAATCTCCAGTGTACTTTTACCATCCTTGGCATTGTCTGAAATTAAAACAAAAAAGTCGATTAATGCTACAAAATTATTAAGTGTTCACTGAAAATATTACAACAAAGTAAAGATAACGAAGATAGAAAAATACACAGACATTCTTATTGCTATCAAGATTTTTTCTTCAGGAAAGGTCTCAAGTGAGGGCCGTACAAATAGCCACGAGGCGATGGATGGGACACATCTTAAGAAAGTCCAGCGGAAACATCACAAGACAGTCACTTCAGTAGAACCCACAAGGAGCAAGAGGCAGGGGCAGGCCACAGGAAACATGGAGAAGATGCGAGGAAAGGGATATGAGACAGAGGAGCTCACTTGGAACGAGCTTGGAAGGATGGCCCAAGACAGAGATAAATGAAAGGAGCTTGTATGTGGCCTATACCCTGGCAGGGGTGAAAGGCATTGATGATGACACTACGTAAACTAAGAAGATGAAGAAGACTAAGAGTCAAAGGACTATGTCAATTTGGATACGAAAGCAAGTTCAAACAAAGTTCAACGTCGCAGTGCAAATGATTGACCGTTTCGATTGGATCGTTAAACTTTTTAAAGTTTTGTAAGCACAAGAAATTTAAAAAGATTGGACTCAATAGGATGCGGAGCTGCAAATTCTCACCCGGGGTGAGGATAAAATATATTATTATTCACACCCGGGGAGAGAATAAAAAGGATACTATTCTCACCCAGGGTGAAAATAACGACAGCCTTGTATTCTTCCGTTTTTTTCGTTTCCACCCTTTTTATTTCGTTTCGGGCATCACAATATCCCCAAAAAACTCGCCTCCCTCTCTCATTCCACTGAGCGCGCGAGGCGACTAAAATCGCCAAAGGGCGGGCCAGCTCTCGAGCGCGGGAGGCAACTATTGTCGATTTAGGGGAAAACCTAATTATCTTTTGAGCAAAGCGTCACCATGGAAAATTTTACTCTTGAATGGTTCAACCAATCAAAATCAAGAAAAAAATAAGTCTAGGGTCAAGGCACTGCGGGCCTTCGTGGGTTTTATTAGGGATAACAGGTTTATATTTCTTAAAACAAATCCAATTCTAACATTATAGTACAATGATATATACTATAAATTACTAACATTATTTTATTGAACAGCTTTTTAAAACATACTACTCTGGCAAGTGAATTCCTCTCTGAAATTAGAATATACACTTGCCTAGGGTTTTGATGCGTGCACACTCTCAAGATTTTTTTAAATGAAACAATAACATTAACATTTCCCGCGGGAGCTTAAAAAAACGGCCAGCGTTCAGGGGCAGGTCACAAACGGTACTCATTATTTCAAAAATTATTTTCTATCATCCTATTAGCCTGCATGTACATCTAGGCCTACCCTTTCTCAACACCCCGGTAAGAATAAAAATCCATTGCATTTTAAATTCTTCACCCTGGGTGAGAATAGATCTAACGACAGCCTTTCAGAATCACGATCAGATGACGTGGCGGGCTTCCCCCTTGCGAGGTCAAACAAGATGGCGGTTATTATAAATATCGACCAATGGCATGGCGTTTAGTCGTCGTTCTTACAGCTATCGGCTTGTGTTCCCTCCTCTTTGATTACCTGGCATTCTGGCGTATGGCTTGGGACTTTAACGAACGAAACTACAAAATCACCCAAAGTGTTAGTATGAGGAATAATGACATCTAGACTAACATAGATCTAGAATCTAGTCTATGATTAATTACTACTAGATCTAGATCTAATCAAGACAAAGAATCTGGACTTCTGTATTAATTTTTCGGAAGGACTTCCGTAACGAGTGACCACCCCATCAAACACAATAAAGAAGAGGCCTAACCGTAACCCTAACCCTATCCCTAGATCTACCCCTACCCCTAAATTCTGGTCTGTCTTATAGTGGTCGCTCGTTACGGCTACGGAAGTCCTCCCAATTTTTCACTTCATTTCAACAGTGGCCACCTCTATTCTCACCCGGAGTGAGAATAGTGCAGGCGAGTCTTGTGGCTATTCTCACCCGGTGCGCGTTCACCAAATTTTGCGTTCACCCTAAACCACAGAATTCTACACTGTGATTATAACAGAAAAATTGTAGAATTCTGTGCCGTGAACAAACGTTCCATTACAACTGTAGCCTACTAAAAGTGTACAATTTTGTCTGTGGGCAGTGGAGAGAGAGAGAGAAAGAGAGAGAGGAGTAGCGCGAGAATTTCCGGGCAAAACAAAATGGCGACCCGCGTAGGTGGGCTCGATTCGAAAAGTTAAATAGCCGTAGCATCTTTGTAGACAACCAAATTAATTTACTTTTGTGTTTTAACATCATTTTTTAACTTTGTTTTGGTCAATTTGATCGTCCACACCGATAGACAGTATTCAGAAAGAGACAGAGAGAGAGAGAAGAGGGGAGGAGTTGATCTTGCGAGAACTTCCGGGCGGGTGAGAATAGCCACTTTCTTCAACAGTACTGTACAGTCAACAGAAACCAAGCAATTTATAACAGGGTCGCTCGTTACGGAAGTCCTCCCTATAAAGGGAGAATTTAAACTTAAGAGCACGACAGGACTTAAGACGAGAAGTTTGGAGAAGGAAAACCTTTCTTTCAGAGCCTAACAACATACTTACACTGCTCGGTGACAGTGAAGAAGGGGGGGGACTGTCTTTACACTGGCCCTTTTGTAAGCCCTTGTTTTTGTTTGAAAGATCGATCAAGGAAGTTTATTTACTGCTAGACTCTAGATCTGTTTCTTGCGCACGAAAATCACAGAAAGCCCAGTGTGTAACATTTCTGCCAGATCCCTTCCATGATGTTGTTCGAAAAGTATAAAGTATATCTTCTCCTCTTATATCTTTGGCTTTGAAATTCCTGTCCAATTTTAGTCAATGAAAATCATCCAATTGTATACTTAGACTAGAGTACTGGCTTTGCAGGAAAACTCAAGAATCTAGAATAGTTTTGACATTTTATGGTCGCCGCATTGTGTATGTATCATACAACTTGGCATTACAGTCCTAACAATTTTTTAACTGCTTGCGCTCATAGGCACAATATCAACATTCAACAAGATCTGCAGTGCTATCACAGCAGACAGCACCAACATGAAAAAGATGGCGCAAGCAATTGTCAACACATGCTACACGAGTGCAGGTTGCAATAGATGCCCATTTAGTGCAGACTGGGGGAGAAATGGCTTGATATGTTATGCATATTCCAATTCAATAGCTGTATACCAGCCTGAGGTAGTATTTTGTTCTTTTCTCTCAATTAGCCCTTTTATTTAAGACAAAAATAAAATCAATATTATTCCACTCTACTTCTCCTTGTTGACGGTTACTCACGCCTTGACAGTTAATGAACTTGTTGGTCAATCAAGGAAGTGTCTAATCTAGATCTAAAAATTTAGATATCTAGTTCTAGATCTGGGCGATTGTTAAGATTCCCGCGTTTAATTCCGATGTGCGTTTTTCATACCCTCAGGCATATTTCGCTTTGGTCCCTAACCCTAGGTTAGGGTTAGGGCTAGGATTAGGGTTAGGGCCAGGGTTAGGGTTAGGGACCAAAGCGAAATATGCCTGAGGGTTTGAAAAACGCACATCGGAATTAAACGCGGGAATCGTAACAACAATCGCCTAGATCTGTTCTCACCCCGTGAGAGAATAGAAATACGATCAACCTCTCTCACCCCGGGTGAGACTTGCCAGCGTTGGCTATTCTCATCCAGTGTGAAGACCTGTTTTTTTCCTAATAATCCTAATATTTCTGAATACTTTCACTTTCTGTCTTTCTAACGGTGTGGATGATCAAATTGACAATTTAAACATAGAGTCTATGCGCCAGACCGCGGTAGTTAATGAGGTCTTGTGGCTGTGACTCTTGTGCGTGAAGAAAACATGAAGGCGTTTGTGGTCACATGACTGACCCTTTTCTTCTCACTTTGGATACTATTGCAGTGATCTCCCTTCATTTGTGTGCCGGGAGCAGGTCGAATCGCAATGCCTCTCAATTGCCCACAGTGCAGCAAGGTGCCATGTGACTGCTTTATTTTTTTTTATGGTGCGCGGCAATTAGGCCCTCACCACATCATTTTGTCTGCCCAGTGTGCGGCATTCCATGCTATAGTTCTTTGATAATACAGAGAGAAACTTGCATTACTTGAATACTTTACTTGTTTTTCATTGTTTTCAGTCATTCATTTGTTCATGCATTCAGAATGACCACTCATTTTGAAAATAATGAAAACATTTATTGTTAAAAAAACAAAATACAAATATAAGAAATGAGGTAGTAAAAGGTCTCTTTACCCCCCCCCCCCCCCTCCCCCAAAAAATAGGCCTACTGAATTGTAAATAAATTATTAGTTTGCAGTACCTAAAGTATTTGTACTTGAGACGAAACCAGGTGCCTTGATGACAGTGCATGTATTTTAAACCTGAATAATTACTAATAATAAGACCTGTTTTCTAATGTTAATAGGGCCTAAGATAAGAACGTCTAGACTGGCAGGCTAGCCGTACTAAGAACGCTAGACGGCTAGGCTAGCCGTACTTAAGGATGGCTAGACTGTCAGGCTAGTCATACTTAATATTGATGGCTGAATTGTAAATGAAATTTTTAGTTTGCAATGCCTAAAGTATTTGTATTTCAGACAAAACCAAAAGGTGCCTTACTGACGTGCATGTATTTTAAACCAGAATAATTACTAGATCTAGATCTAATGAGACCTGTGTACTCAACAGGTTAGAGTCGATTGGGCCAAACCTAGATCTAAGTACGGCTAGACTCTCAGGCTAGAGTATGGCTTGCCACTTCGTTAGCCTATATGTAGGCCTACCCATTCTCAACACCCAGGTAAAATTCCATTGCATTCTCAGACCAGGTGAGAATAATATCCATTTTATTCTCACCCAGGCTGAGAATAACAATATAATATTATTCTCACCCTGTTGTTATTCTCAACCCGGGTGAGAATAAAATGGATATTATTATTTTCATCGCGGGTGAGATTAACGACAGCGAGAATAAAATGATGTTATAGCACAAAAGTAAACTAATTTCGCGGTGTACTGAGATGCTAAGGCTATTTCACTTTTCAAATCGAGCTGAACTACGCTGGTCGCCTTTTTGTTTTGCCCGGATGTTCTAGATCTAGGCTACTCTCTCTCTCTCTGTCTCTCTGTCTCTCTCTCTCTGTGTCTCTCTGTCTCTCTCTGCCTCTGTCTCTCTCTCTCTCTCTCTCTCACTCTCTCACTCTCTCTCTCTCTCTCTCTCTCAGTCTCTCTCTCCCCCTCTCTCTCTCCCTTTCCCTCTCCCTCTCCCTCTCTCTCTCTCTCTCTCTCTCTCTCTCAAAATTGCACAATGGAACGTTTGTTTACGCCATGGAATTCAATAAAACGTGTAGGCTAAGAATTCTGTGGTTCACACTGGGTATCATGGCACTTGATGAGAAGTGCGGTAAGTGAATTAGGACTTAAGACGTTGTGAACTGGCTGTAGACCTGAGAACTGAGTTTTCATATTATTGTAAAAAGTTGATGATTTTTCTATGTCTTTTAATAACCCAGACGTTCATCCCAGCTGTAGAAAAATGTATATATATTCATGTGTTATGTGGATTGTGAAGTGCATGGAACTTGCTGTTGAGCGGGGATGCGTGTATTATACAAATGCTATATTATTTTTAGAATTAAATACATGATGCCACTTTTCTTTCCTTTGTAAACAGGGTTTTGCAGCAGGTACAACAGGTGGAGGAATTCTGTCCACTCTTTATGGACATTCTGGCAAAGTCAATGCAGTCACCTGGATCGGTAATGCTGGCTGTGGTAAGCTGTGTTTCTTTTTGTTTGTGTTCCCTGCCTTTTATTTCTTTTAGCCCCCATGTTTCATGAAGTGTTCATTTTAGTATACTTAACTGCATCTTACAACTTTCTAGAACAAGATGTAAGAAATAAGGAACAGTATCTGTGATAAATTCAAATTCATGATTATACTTGTATATTCGGCTCATATACAGGTTTTGTAGAGTTGAGAAAACAAAGGACATAAAGAACTAAACAAGTCTTGACAGGTTACTTGAAACCATCCTTATCTGTGTAGAATGGTGCCATATAACCAATTTTTTACAGTCTTTGAAACTTGTTATAATAAATTGCCTTGTTTATAGTTTGACATGTGTACTCTTCATATTTCAAATTTCATGTTTATGTACTCTGATTCTTCTCAATTTCTTTGTTATTTTGTTTTTTGTTTGTCTTTCAAATTGTTTTCCTATGTTAGCACATCCCTGCTTCTGTAAAATCCTCAGATGAAACAGAGCTGGTGTCTGGGTCTGCGGATGGGTCAGCCATAGTGTGGTGTTTCACTAACACTGAGGAGAGACAGGTATAGTATACCAAACCAAGACCATCTTTACAACTTTTTTCAAGACAAAATCTTACCTTGCGTGGATTTTTTTTTCAAAACGATCCTATGCGCATGGTGCATGTAAGTTGGGAGCTTGCAATGGTATTGTAGCATAGAATAATAGAAAGAGGTTTTACCATTAAAACTTTTCACTCCGCTAATATTGGTATCAGACAGATCCGGGTTTATAAATAATTCCACACAATGGCTTTTGATGCATAAAGAGGGAGGTAAATATTCATCTAAATTATTTCTAAATGCCTTTTAACCTCTCTTTTCTACTTAACTTAATTTTCTCCCTTTTCTGTTGAGATTTAACTTCCTTTTCTCTCTATTCTTCTGTATTTGCCCTTTGTTCTGTTCTACTTTAATTTCTCTGTTTTCTAATTTTATATACTTAAGATGAAATTTTTAACAATACCTTTTTACCATATTAATGCCCAGGGTCAATACAAACCAGTGTGCACGTTGAAAGGCCACCAGGGCTCAGTTACATGCGTGACTGCCCTGTACCTTCCCCATCAAGCTACACAGGCAGCTGCTGCTGAGAAAGAAACTCTAATTGTGACGGCATCTATCGACTCAACTGTTCGGGTTTGGAGCAGAACTGGAACAGGTGATGTTATTCTTTTGAACTGGTTATCTGATATGTAATGACTGCTCATGTATTAAATCGATTTGAAATCCTTGATCTATCGAGAGATCAGAAACTCTGTAGTAATATTCAACATAACCAGATTTTGAGCCAGTAGTGTGTAACTGGAAAATTTAAGATCTATTTAACATCCAAGGCTCTTGTTTTGACATATTTTTTAAAGATTGTTTAAAAGACTCCTTTTTCCCATCGTATTAGTTCTATTTGGCCTTTGGGCTTGTCACAGTATGTCTAGTAGTAAAGATGTGTATTACAAGTAACCAGTTGTATTACTATGAAAGTATTTGCTGTGGCTACATCAATATGGATAATATCTTTTCTTAATCATGTCTTATAGTTGCCAAAAAGACTAAAAAGAATCTATCAGTCTCAGCAGAAGTTTCCTTAAGATTGTTGGTTCCTCATGTACCTGCTTAAACTTGAAGTCAGTTTATGATTAGTGTGTATTTTCTTCTGCTTCGATTGTTAGTAGTTATAACATGACTATTTACTTGCTTTGAAATGACAAAAGTTAACAATGTTTTTATCACAATGTTACAGAAGAAGCAAAAGAAATACAAGTAATAGACTTCAAAACAGGGTTTGCCTTGTGTGTGACAGCCTGTATCATCCCTGGACATAATGGTAGGTAGATGGTGTCGGTATGGGGGGCATACAAAAAAAATGTTGTTTCAGAAGAGTTCTTAGTTCTGCATACATATGTTGTGAGGTGTTTATTAGTTGAGCAGGTGGAGGATGCAAATTTCCTGTTTGGGTTTTGTTTGTTTATTTGGTTTTTGTTGCTTTTTGAGGGGGGGGGGGGTTCAAATTATTTCTGCAAATAAATATCAATTGATTTTGGGTACAGCAAATATTGTCTTGCAGTCAGTATGGTGCTACTGTCTTTAATGTCAATTTCTCTGTCAATTCAGTACTTTGATCTCTCTCTCACTCTCACTCTCACTCTCTCTCTCTCTCTCTCTCTCTCTCTCTCTCTCTCTCTCTCTCTCTCTCTCTCTCTCTCTCTCTCTCTCTCTCTCTCTCCCTCTCTCTCCCTCTCTCTCCCTCTCCCTCTCCCTCTCCCCCTCCCCCTCCCCTTCCCCTTCCCCTTCCCCTACCCCCAGCCTACCCTGAGGTCTGGCTGGGAGCAATAACCTGTTTGTTGAGATATGAACGTCTTGTTGACTGAGATAACTATTTTATGTCCTCTGTTCTCCATTGTTGTAGTTCCTCTGCTAGCCTGTGGCTGTGATGACCACAAGATTCACTTGTACGCTAGAGGTCAAGATCAGAAGGTGAGCAAGTACAGAATGTTGTCTCTCAAAGATGTTATTAAAAATTCAAAATGCAAGAGAAAAGTCAATAACCGTATGTCGTTAAGAGTTTGGTCGGCTAATTTCTGGTACACTTTCCAAAACATGGAGTATATTGAGTATTGTGCTTCTTGCATCACAATTGTCCTCGTTTTATGTATGAAGTCAAGTTTGAAGTAACTCGACCTCTACTAGTGACAACCTGTTGCTTTTATAGTTCATTATCTTTTATGTATTCTGAAAAAGATTCAGTTTTCTTTCACCTCTGATTTGTCTCTGTGTGTTTCAAGGTCTTCAGGAAAGAGTAAAAATTAATGATTTTGCTAAAGCATACATTACATTTTTACTTTTTGTATGTCATTAAGCTTATATTGTTTAAAGAGTACAGTCAAACCCCCTGTAACGGTCACCTGTATGTCTAATATGTCCACTTTTCTCCTCAACAATGGGTGGCCGTCGAAGACAGTTTTGACTGTACTTATCTTTATTCATTTAGATCAGAATCATTTCATCTTCTCTTCCTTAAGCTCATGTGTTGTGATGATTGATCTTTTCAGTTTGTGGAAGTGATCGTTCTGCCTGGTCATGAGGACTGGATAAGAGATTTACAATTTGCCATTGATGGTAAATCATTTTTATTTTTATTACTTTGTATTTTACAGTTGTACGCTTTTTATGTCCTCTAATCCTCTCTTGACTTTTCGACTTTGTGAGGTTAATGATCCCACTTTATCCCATAGGACACAAAGTCATTTTGAACTTTTGGCCTCACAACAAAACTTAGAACTGAGGGGGGGGAACAGAGGAGGACAAATAAGACCCCAATCTGCTTAACACATCAAACTTCCGCCCTTCAAAATTATAGTCAGCTGTGCCTCAGCGTTAAGCAGTGATACATTGTTTCTTTACATACATACCATATAAATGTGTATTATGGAAAATCTTTTATTCAACTACTACGATTTTATGCATTTGAATAGATCATGTAGTTTTTGCAGCTTTTTTCATCCAATAATGAAACAAATTTGCAAGTTTGATTAGTTTGCAGGGGCGGTGAACTTTTTAAAAATTATTCCTGTTTCATGCTTTTTTTTTTAGTTTGACAACTTAGCTTGTGTCCTCAACATGGTACAAATGTCTTTTTTAATGCACTCCAGTAAGTTCTTTTTTTTTTTTTTATCCTGCTACCAGACATGTTTCCTTTTTTTTTTTTTTTTACTCTGTCGCTTTGCCTGCATTCTGAATTTGACTCATTATTGTCAAAAGAGTTGTGAGATATAAACTAATCCTCCATCAGATGACGGAGATATTCTGCTGGCTAGCTGTGCACAAGACCAACTTATCAGAGTGTGGCGGTTTACAGTCAGAGACCACAGCAATGATAGGACAGTCCCAAAATCTGTGTCAGAGCTGCCCCTGGATCAAGACATTGCAGTGAAGGAAACTTTGTTCTCCGTGACTACGTCAGGTAACTCTTCATTTTTTTTGTATATCACCGGAAATGTATATTTGTATAGATTCAGTGGAACTTGCTCCAACGGCCGCTTCCCATTCCCCCTTGCGTCTTTTTTTTATTATTTTTTTAAAAAATTATATTGAATCTGTGTAAGATGCCCACCTAAAACGGCCACTTTTGTCCTGCACCGGGGGTTGCTGTCTTAGACAGTTACGACCGTATATACAGTCAAACCTACTATAAGGGCCACCTGTATAAGACAAACACCTGTACAAATGTCCACTACCCACTTGCCCCCTTGCATTTTTTTAATATCATAATGGCACTATGTAAGATGGTCACTTTTTCTCCTTGACAATGGGTGTTCATCTCTGACAATTTGGACTGTATATTGAAACATGTCTTTTCTGCATAGCAAGTAACCATTAAGTTCCTTCTATGTCTTTGAGACCTTTAGAGCTGGGGCTTGTCCTTGTTTTGTCCATGTGAAGTAGCAAAGATTGCACAAAATTCTGATCTGTGGTTCTTTGCCCTGAATTGAGTGTTATTAATCAAGAGAGTTGATTGGTAAAGGAGAAAATGAAGAAAGTTTGGAAGCTTTTTTTGATAGAGAGTGTACGTAAATTAAATAACAGCTGTATTTTTTTTTGCAGCTTAGATTTTCAGAAGTGATATTAATGTATCTTCTTAAAAATTTGTCAGCATTTTGAAAGTGCTCATATCTTGCTGTAGCTTATCATGTTTTTCGTGGGAAGGAGTCTGAAGTTTGCTTTTCTGTCTCTATTCTCAATCACCACACAAATCAGGAGGAAAATATTCCTTAAGAGGATCAGAATATTAATGAATTCAGAAGGATATTCACTGTACTAGTTTACTTTTCACATACATTCATGTTCATTTTATTCCTTAGCTCTTTCTGTAAGTATTCTGATGATATTTTTTTGATTAATTTTTATCTTTGACACCCTCTTGTTTGACTTTTCCTTGGTGTTAAGATTATGACTATCTGCCTCAGAGAAATAAAAACTCTTATTTTCATGAGATATCACTCAACGATGAGAAACTAAATGTTCTTCTTTTTCCCTTAAAAGATAAGATAATACTGTATTGTCCCAGAGGGAAATTTTTCTTGGCTGTATTAAACTTCAATATGAAAAGAAAAGTAAAGCTGACAAAATGTACATATCACATCAGATGCATCATTCAACCACATACAGGAATTTAAGTACAAGCGTTTAGAGTTATATAGATACATACTCGAAACAGCAATACACATTGATGTTTATTCTGACATTAGCCTTATACTAGATGGTAAGAAACTTCTTTTGTATCTTTCTTTCTTTGTCTTTAGAGGTACATATCTGCCGCTGCATGATCTTTCAATTAGTGTGGAAAGGGGGTGTGATGGGTCATTTATAATGCTGTTTGTCTTTTTTACTTGTGATCTTATACATTCCATCAATTCTAATAAAATCATATCCCAAGATCTTGCTGGCTTTCTTAATGGTTGTGTCAAATTTTTCTTTATCTTTATCCAGACCAGTTGGTTGAGTTTGCTGTGTGTTTGGAGTCTGTTCTGTGCGGTCATGAAAACTGGGTCTACAGTATCCGATGGCAGCCTGCACAGTACACTGGTGAGTTACCCTGTGGAATTGGGACTCGTTATCGTGAGCAATAATCGTTTCCACTCTCCTGTAGTCAGCTGAAGAGGATGCTGAAAGCTTTCTTGGTTTTTGACTAACTGACAAATTATTTTCCTCCAAAACGCATTTAAAAAATCTCATGACAATGGCAGAGAGGGAAATAAGTCATAGATTGGTCACGATGATAGAGCATTAGCACTTAATGGTTTTTCTTTAACTCTTTCACTACTGCGAGCCGTATTTCACCGCTCGAGTTACCTCCAGCGCCGGACAGCAAGCCGTGTTTCAAGGCTCTCCACTCTCTGCCTCAAAGTCGCACCTACTTTCGTAATTATCGAATCTGAAAACTAAGGCTGAAAAATGATTGTTTTTAGCAACATGCTGAGATAGGTCATTATTTCCCCTTTATTCCCGTATATAATACATATGACTAATATTGTAGGTCATTATTTCCCCTTTATTCCCGTATATAATACATATGACTAATATTGTAAATTGAACTAAAAAAATCTTTAATTTGTCTGATGGTAGGCAGAGTCAGAAAGTAGGTCACAGATAGGGGCAAAGTCCAGGTGAGGAAAACCCCCTGGTAGTGAAAGAGTTAAATTGTGAGAGAATCACGGGAAAAGGAAAATATTGCAGTGGAATGGCAAGCTCATCCATTATCCCCTTTTGTTCTAAAATCATTTCCATTTCTTTACACTAACTGAAACCTCTTTATAAGTAGTGATGAGGACATAAAGAGTGTTCTTTTTCTTTGATGAGCGTGCAAACATTTAGTAACTGCTGCTTTGAAAATAACCTGAAAACTATTTCTCAAATCTGAGGTCTTGTATGTTTTATTTTTCACTAAAATGAGCTTAATCAGCAGCAGCAGCAGCAGCAGCAGCAGCAGCAGTCTTCCTTACCCTGTCTCGGAGTAAAGTTGACTGAAAAGAGTTCTCCAGCCTGAGCTATAGTCTCAACTTCTGTCCAGCTGTATCCTATCTTCTGTAGGTCTGAATCCAAGTCCCTCCTCCCAAGTAGGCCTGCCTTAAGACCTTGCTTTCTTTCTTTATCCCTACTTCTTCATTTTTCTAAGATCACATTATTCAAATTGTCTGGTTTGCTCTCTTTTTTTCCCCTGCTCCTTTTTTTTTCTAACATCATATTATTCAAATTGTCTTATTGCGTGTCATAATTGCAATCTTGTGTTTTATCAGGGGATGGAAAATGCAGTCAGGCCATGAAGTTACTGTCAGCCTCCATGGACAAGACAATGATCTTGTGGAGTCCAGACAAGGGCAGCGGAGTGTGGGTGGAGCAGGTAAATCTATGATTTTGTACTTTATGAATCATCCACAAATTTTAAAACTGTTATTGCTGTTTGTGAATGAGTGCCTTCTGTTTTGCGAAGCACAAATTAAGATGCTTCCCCTCACCTCCTTAAGGGTCGGAATACTCGAAAGAAATACGAGGCACTCAAAGAATCCAGTGATTTTGTTAGAAAGTCAATGTTTTAGATAAGATCCTGAAAATGTAATAGGTCAATTCAGGGTACAGTGTGTTTAGCAAAATATGAAGAAAACACTTACTACTCACTGCTGTTTGCCTGTGAAGTTGTTGATCCAGTATTGCTCAAGAGTAACTTAGACTCTCTCACAGGTCTATCCTATAAGCAACAACCATCATCACAACCTGCCTCTTTTGTACTGTCTCTGTGACATGCAGGTTCGCGTTGGAGATGTTGGGGGCAACACACTCGGCTTCTTTGGTGGACTGTTCAGCCCATGTGGTCAGTCCATCCTAGCTCATGGCTACCAGGGGGCTTTCAATCAGTGGACATTGAATCAGGTAAGAGTCATTGTGGTGCAAGTTTGAAGTATTTAAATGTGATATTAACTGTCTTTATCTTAACTTTTGCCCCGGTCATCATCATTTTTATTGACCTTGGTACTCGAATGCAAAATCAGGATTTAAAAAGACACCAGCTTGTCCTGGACTTGGCATCAGTGTCTATTACTGTCGGGCAAAAAGTTGAGCGAAAACCTCATATCCAGTTGCTTGTGTTTTTTACTTCTATGTGGGAATATGTGGTGAGGGGACTGGTCAGAACCATTGTCTATAGACAGATATTAAGATATGCTGAAAGGATATCAACCATATGAGAAACATCTTATTTTTTTGGCTAATTGTTTAACTTTTTCCAAGTGCTGAGTTTGCCTCGTAATAGAGTTTTAAAAGACTCCTCCATTTCTGTGTGCTAGGTGATAACATATGACTGAGCTACTTTGATGATAGTGTACTTTGGAATGGTACTGTTGATTTTTTTTTCTTGTCTGATGTGTTCAGATATTTAAGAGTCTTCCTTGACTTGACACTAGTGTGACATGTTGGGGG